GTTAAATTTATTGTAATTTTGAACTGAGGATTCAGTGAACTTTCTACAGGACAAGTCACAGTGTTAGGAAACATTTTGACTTTTTCAAGGTTGGTGATAGAACACAGAGTTAGAAAAGGTTATGAGAAATCAGTCTTAGAATTGTACGTTTTCTGTTATATGTGTTGAAAAGAACTGAAAAAGACACTTTAAGAGAGAGAAGATAATTGTTATGGTAATATTTAAAGAGGCATGGCAGAGAACAAGACTTAATTCTAGCCTAGTAGTCTAAGTTACTGCAAGTTAGAGGTTAGCCTAGGCTATGTAGTAAATTTCAGGTTAATCTGGGCTATGGTGTGAGACCCTGTTGGGAAAAAAGCCACAAACACCCACAAATGTAACAAAAAGTGTGGATTTATAAAGAATGCTTCCCTCCCCCGTCCCCTCCCCTCCCCTTCCCATACCTTCCCTCTCTAACCTTTACTCCTTTGAGAGCAGAAACAGCTGTTACAGGATTTTAAGCTAAAAACTGCAGTTAATGTATTCAGTAGGAAAATTCTGCTAGTATATAGCCTTTCAAGCAAAATAGCCTTTAAGCATTTACTGATTATGGTTTTGTGGATTATTGAAAGGCTTATATTCTAAATAGAGTTATTAATATATGAAGGCCAGCCAATGCCCTCAGTTCCTGTCATATCCTTATCTAATATACCTAGGCTACCCACTTTTGAGGACTACTCCTGGAGAGTGGGGCTGTGACACTATTGTCTTCAAAATCTAGCAGTTCACATCCTGATACATGCTGCCTTTTTTCTCATTACACATTTATATTCATCTCTTACAGAATTTTAGCATTTGAATACAAGTAATCATCCTTGTAACATAATCGCTTGAGTTTGCTTTCTCCCCCCTCCTTCACTTTTCTGTCATTATTAGGAAATTATGGATCTATTTTTAAAAATTTATTTTTTAATTTATTTTTTGGAAGAAGCATTTCATTACAGCTTTAACATACTCAATAAAAGTTTCCAGAGCAAAGATACATCCCTTTCAAAAGTGGCTATAAAATTTGTAGGCTTGATGTTGAATTAATACAGTTATACAATATTGAACTCAGTATAAGCCCTGTAACACATTGTTTCTTACAGACTTATTGTTTTTGCTAATAACACTGAGATGTTGGAGCATGCATCTCTCATCTGTATGTATCTGATTATAACTAGTCATAATTGGTTGCACTCAGATCCTTGGCACTTGTGTGTCTATAAAGTCATCGGGTAGATTTTAATGGTAATCACCTCTACTAATTAACATGATGTGAATTTTTATGCTTCCTCCTCAAATATAATTCGTTTTATAAAATTTGTTGAATTTTTGTGTGTGTGTATATCACATAGAACATCTTATTCAACTATACACCCACTTCCCAAATGGCACCCTCCCATAGCCTCCCTCCCCCCACTAGAGCCCTTATACTCTGTTTATCCCTGCTACTGTCCGCAGTGTTGTCGGCACCCCAGCCGTTCCCCACTACTTGTCCATCTGGTGAATCTAGTCAGCCTATCTACCATAGACTTTGAACTGATTCTGACATGCTGCTGATTCAGCTTCTAAAAGTGCACTGAAAACAGATTCTCTGCCATGTGTACATGTATTCATGCACCTGTCGATCCACGAGGCTGCCTATTTATAAGTATAGCATTTGTAGTACAAAAGAAAAGATTTATTCTTGTTTTATTTATGTCTATGTGAATAATAGCAGTTCTGTTCACCTCTATCTGGGAGTCTGTAACAAAGATGTAACATTTGTCATACAAAAGAAAAAAATGATTTATTGTGGTTTTATTTATGCAGGATGATAGTCTACATTTTAATCCGACCCTCACAATACACCTTATATACTTGTGATTTTGGAATATTTAGATCAATTTTACTACATTCTTCACAAAACTAACATAAGTTCAGATCTGGTAGGGTCCTGCACAGAAAGGTGAGGAAATGTATGGGTGAAATCACATATATAACCCAACTGGAGGGGATTAAACTAGGATCCAAGTATCTGGTCTCAGTACACTGGTTTGTCATTCTCATGTACATAAATGCCCTAGGACTTCTCATATTGCATTAATAAAAGGTTAACAACTGAAGCAGGGAAAGGCATGAACAAAACATGTCATCATCAGGCACAAAGCTAGAATTTACCATAATGAAAATGTAAAGCTAAGGCCCTTATTCCTCATAATATGAAGGAGGAGATGAAGTACAGAGCCCTGCATATGTCCTTTCAAGAACTTGACTAACTCTGAGTTAAGAGTCTGCATAAGTTCTTAGATACCATGATGCAAGTAGCTACAGCACATGTAGGTGTAATTTCATGGAAACTATAAATTAAAAGAATGAATTAATTGAAATTTTGGAAGTTTGTCAACCTATCTTTCACATTAAGAAAGAAAACATAATTATAATATAGGTAGTGAAAATTAATTTTAAATATGTTCATTTTTGCTAGATGTGGGGGTTCCTGCCCATAATCTTAGCACTTGGGAGGTGGAAACCGGAGTATCAGATGTTCAAGGTCATCCTCAGCTACTTGTTGAATTCAAAGTCAGCCTGAGCTACATAAAACTGTGTATCACCAAAACAAAAGAAAATGAAACAAAATTTCAGTACACACACATACACACACGTGTGTGTTGTACATATATTCATGTGTGCATGCAGGTCTGTGTGCATGTGTGTGCATGTGTAGTAGAATCTAGAGTTTTGAATCTCAGGACAGGTAACAATCATGGCAGAATGGCTTAATGAGCTAAAACAAAAGTATGCTACTCTGAAGGAGTCATAAGCCCTATAGGATCAGAACCTCCTAGAAGAGGTGGTTCAATTCTGAGTGTATTGCTTAAAACAGATGCCTGAGAGCTGTGAGGTTCTCATAGACAGTGTGGTAAATTAGTGGTGCAATAACTAACATCTAAATTATTTAAAATAATGATAATAGTACTAACAATTATAAATATTTAGCTATGGAAGAATATGAAGTGAGAAGGATTTAAAGAGTATAAATAATTCCTCTCTTTTCAGAAGAGAGTCACTATATGTATGTGACTAATATATCATATAATGACATCCTTGTGCTATCAACTAAACCTAATGAAGGGAGAGTTATAAAGCTCAAAGCCTGACTCTCTTATTCTCTGGACTTTGGCCAATGTGGCAAAGAGTGTAGGAAAGAATGTCATGGTCAGGAAAGACATTCTTTCCTGCGCTCTTTGCCACACCTGCATAAATCTCTTAACCCTCTTCTCTCTCACTTTGTATATATTTCCACATTTTCTCCAGAGAAAGATCATCTCCCAGATATTATTTACTTTTAAAAACTGTAGTAGGATGTATCAGTGGTATAAAAGTAAATAGCTGGTTAGTCAGTTGACATGAATGAGATCATGTGTTATGTACCATAAGGAACAAAAGGTAAAATTGTGTCTATGTATCTATGTGCATTTATGGAGTGGGATAGAACTGTCATTTTTGACAACTCTTTTTTCCACAGGAGCATATGAGTTGAAATACATTAAGACCCATGAGTTTACCTGCCTATGAGGTGATACCACTCAATTAAATAGAATCTATCTTTAGAAATAATTATTGCTTTGGAACAATTAGACTAGTTCATTTGAATGCATATTTTTGCCTCTTTCTGTTTGAATATTGGCACAGAGAAAAACAAGAAAATAAATGCAGCCAAAAGAGAATTATTTGAACACTCATTGAAAGCTGGTGATTGTGTCAAATGCTTGGCATAGAGCTCATTTAATTCTCAAAGCGTTGGATGAGGTGGAGATGCACTACATACCCAAGAAAAGAAAGAACTCACTGGCAGCCACTCTACTAGTAAGGGACAGATCTGAAGGAAGAGCCCAGGAAGATGGTCTTTCTTTCAACTCTTTTCCCATCAGCCTGTGCCAAGTCTAGCACAATAGATAACTGCACAGTTGTACACACCAAAATACAATTTCTGTGTTCTTCCCAGGCTACTTTATGTGACTTACCGGCACTGGAATTCAGCCATAAGGGAATGAAAGAATAGGGAAAGCAATTAATACCTGTTAAATTTAAAGCAATTTTTTCTTTTGAGCAAGGGTTCAATGCTTCCTCTACTGATAAATGTGTTCTTTTCCTGCATCTTGATTGTATTGAGTAATATCTCTGGTTTATTTGAACTTGATTTAATTTACTGCCGCCACCTATTTCACTAAATATGTGCAAGTACAGAGACAGAATATTACATTATTTTTTATTTATAGTGTAACAAATAGCCACAAATTTAGAGACTTGAATTGACATGAACTTGCAGTATTTTGCAGTCTGTAGATTAGAATTCTGACAGAACTTTCACAGTGCTAAAGTCAAGGTGTTGGCAGGTCACTTGCTCCCTTCTGGAGGCTCTGTGGAGAAGCTACTTCCCCTTCCCTTTCCAGCTTCCTTCAGTCGTGGCACCCTTCCCCATCCTGATAGCCAGCATCACTATGAAAAGCCTTTATACCACATCTCTGAATCTCTTCCTCTACTTTTTCCTTCCACATCTAAAGAGCCATGCGCTTACACAACACTCACCCAAATATTCCATTTCATGTCTCCATCTTAAAGTTCTTAATTTAATCACACTTGAAAAAATATTTGTTGCCTTGGAAGATGACATATGGACAGGTTCTGGGGTTCACATGTGGGCCCCTTTTTAAGGGGGGGATTGTTTTGCCTACTACAAATTCATACTAGATAAAGAGTCTGATTTCAAGGACAGGGAAATCCAATGCTTTCCATAGAAAAGCTTATAGCATAGCAGGTAACTAAGACACAAATACCCTAGAGGCATGCCAGAAGTATAAACCAATCCAATCACGGTGCTTGCAGAGGCCACAGCCAGGGTCAGGAGCAAGTTAGAAGGACATTGACTGAAAAAAAATCAGTGTTAGTACTGATTTATTTATTTGATTTTTCTTCTCATGACTTTTCACTCAGGTTTTGAGACTCTGGGATATTCAACACCAGCTGTCCATCCAGAGGATGGCTTGTTCTTTCCCCAAAAGTCAGGACTTCAGGTGCCTTTTCCACTTTGATGAAGCCCATGGGCGACTTTTCATCTCCTTCAATAATCAGCTGGCCTTGTTGGCCATGAAAAATGAAGCCGGCAAGAGGGTGCAGAGCCACGCGAAAGCTGTCACTTGTGTCCTTTACAACTCCCTCCTGAAGCAGGTAAAGATGCTGTCTTTTCTGTCACTGTCCTGACACATCCCCAAGGCCAGATGCTCCTTTTTTCAATTTAATCTGACATAAAACTGAAGCTAAATCTAGAATACAACATGTGGGTAGGAAATGATTGGACAGCCACGTGCTCTTCTGCAGTTATGTGTGTCCAGGTGGATTCAAAGAGGGATTTCATTTTTCTGCCAGTCACAGCAGCGCTGATAGAGTTATAAGGAATTACACCTTTCATGCTGAAGCCAACACAAGCCGCCAAAATGCAGGTGAGCTTGGTTATAAAATTCCCCTTTATCACCATCCTCTTGTATTGCTGTGGAAAGTTCTGAAATATGGATGAAATGTAATTAGCAGAGATCCACTTTTTTTCTTGGCAGCACATTTTACACCAGCAGCTCACTGTGGCAGCGCAGAATGTATTCATAATAAAATTATTCCGTTAAATGCGACGGCGCTTGGCATGCAGCACCAGTGTTGTTTGTCTCCCTACCACTTTAATGACGCTCCGTAGCTTTTTGCTAGAGGAAGCTTTACCTGCATCTTAATGAAACTTGGCTCCCTTGAAGCCTGATGTCACGCAGATTCCAGCCCTTCTTAGAGGATGGGGAGGTCTTCCAGCCAGGCAAGCGGCTGGTGTGGAATCAGCTGTGGGTCTTGGGGAAGGAGACGGTCACTATGGATCCAGTCTCCTATCATGTTCACTGCAGCCCCCATGGAAACGGCACAGCAGAGCCAGGCAGAGACCGAGTCTCTAGCTCTTGACCAATAAACAATAACTCCAATCCATTCTTTGTTTTCCAGGTTGCAGAAGCTTCTCCATTTGCTCAGAAATGAGTGGCTTACACTTTGTGCAAGGGGTGAAAGCCCTTTGTTAGTAATGAGCACTGTGCCATGTCACCACTTCAAACACTTTGTTTACTGGTTATTCTAGGAGATAAAAACCCTTTACAAAACAACTCATTGCGAATTCCATCTGCACAGAAATATTCCCTGGCACATGTTTCACTGAACTTTATGAAGGCCACTGATTAATTCTGCTCTCTGGTGGCCACTGAGAGATACAATCTTTCCCAGAGAACATTCTGTTAATTAATATCTGGAAAGTAAAGATGCTAGGTTTGTGTATAGATCTTTAAGATCCTGTGTTGCCATAAGATGAACAGTATTTGATGAGTTCAGCAAGTTGGAAACAGAAAGGAACTAGAATCTTCCACCTGGGACCTGGAAGTAAAGCCAAAATAGTACAAAGCCATGCAGGTTATAGGAGACTATGTACACATAGTAGACGATTCTAGGAGTATCTCTGGACAGTCACGTGCATCTCACTTCTGGCTATGTTTAACTGCGTAAATAACTAGAAGCATGGATGTACATACAAAGCACGCAGCAATGTATCACATAACATTCTTATCTACTAAGCTATAGAGAAATACTTTAACATTGCATCCTACAAATACATTTTAGAGAAGTACAGAGAAAACTGTAACATTCAATCTCCTCATCTAGTAGCATGTTATTATTTCAGAGTATTTGGACAAAGCAAATAAAATTTTTAAAAAAATATATCAGGTGTAAGGAATTAAGTAAACATTAGTAAGCTATAGGGGCTGGACAGTTGGCTCAGTGACTAGCAGCATTGGAGCACCCTGGTTCCTAGCACCCACATGAGTGTTTAACTGGAGTCTGTAACTCTAGATCTAGGGACTCTGACAGCTTCTTCTGGCCTCTGTGGGTATTGCATGCACGAAGTACCCTTACATACATGCAGGAAAAATATTCATATACATGAAAAAAGAAAAACCTACAATCCCCCAGTAGCTCAGGGAGAGTCTGCTATTTATGGGCAGGTCCAAGATCCATTCTCAGGCTCATTTCTGGGCAGGTGCTCTTTATAGAATGGAGAAAGAACAAAGGGATGGGAACAGACACATTACTATTCACATGGAAACAACATAATGTATAACAATGAGCTCAGGATAAAAGCAACATCTTCCTGGTACAAAGTCATCCATCTTGGCTTTAAGTGGGAGTTGGGGGATCTATCAACAGTGCCCTGAGAGGTAGCATAGGACTCTCTGTGAAGGACTTAGTTGTAGCCAGAAGGTATCTCAGGAACTCCAGTGCAGCTTGGCACACATAGTGAATTTACAGAGACTTGGTTTGGGGGTTCCTATTGGAGCCTGAACAGGAAACACAATTCACTGGACTGTGAGGTTGTTCACTGACCCCTCACTCTAGTCTTAGAAAATGAAGCATAAACTTGAGGTCAAAATAATTCTCACAGTGTGATCCTGATGCCTAGGGAAAAAAATTGGCTCCTCAGGTTAACTGAGAGGCTGAAGCATGTTTCATGGTAATGTCAGTTCTTTGGAGAGCATACAGAAGAGCTTTCCAGAAGGTACCTGGTATGTGATGACATCCTTGTTCTGGAAGCTGAGGGAATATGCGTTCTTATGTTTTAATACGAAATCACATTAAACTGTCAATGTGGTAAATACATACACACATAAACATATATTTATCACCAGCATATAGATTCTATTTATATATACATGTATAAAAGAAAGCCAGTTTGATTCTTTAATTACTTTCAAGAATGTAAACAGATCTCAAGATCAAAAGTTTGGAGAACTTCTGGGTTAGAGATGGGGCTTGAAATGCTGGGCAGATTATTTAGCCTAACTTTTCAAAATGTGATCTGGAGAGGGGTCAGGAATCAAAATGGCAGCCTTGTGTGTCTCTACTACCGCTGTGCTGGGGCTAGCCACTAGCCTATTCAATGTGATTGTTCTGCCTCTCATGAATGGGCCCCAAAATTTCCCTGCCTCCTCCATAGCACTTTCTGTGATAGTTACTGCTCTGAGATACTTCTTTTTCTTAGTAACTTCTTGGGATTCATTAATTTTTTTAAAGCCCTGTTTCTATCATGTAATAAATCTTAGGAAGTCTCACCCCACTCAGGAGGAATGTCCCTTTTCAGCTTATTGGCTCTTGCTCTCTGTCTGATTTGATCTCAACTTGAAGGCCTTTGCTTTTGATTTGTCTGAATTTAATGAAACTTTCTCTTCTGTTGTCATTTCAACACTTGCCCACATTTCAATCCAGCTGGACTTCAGAGGGGACCTCATTTTATACTCATATAAAAGCAGTGTCTCAGAGTAACTCAATATCCTACAGGCAATTCTAATGAATTGTCTTTGTATGAATTCATTAAATGAAGCTTTCCCTAAAAACCCATGAATGATGGAAGACTTTAAAACATGAATTTCTCAATACCATATGAAGTAGAATAGATAAAATTCTGCCTTATGACCCTGATCCTGATCTTAATGATTCAGGTTTATGGAGTTTTATAAAACATAATGTCAGGGCTGGAGAGATGGCTCGGTGTTTAAAAGCACCAGCTGCTCTTGCAGAGGACTGGCTTAGGTTCCCAGTACCCACATGGCAGTGAACATCTATCTGTCTGTAAGTCCAGTTCCAGGAGATCTGACAACATCTGACTTCTACAAGCAATGCACACATGTATGTGGTACACTTACATACATGCAGAAAAATATACATACACATAATAAATAAAAGAAAAAGCATGTCAGTTGTCTTTTACTTTAATATATTTATAGTCATGCTAGATATTTAGGTGTCACTGAAGTTTGATATACAGTATTTATTTCTGTTGAAGTAATTAACTTTTTTTTTAAACATAGCATGCAAATATTACATGCTAATTATAAAAATTAAAACAGTGCAGTGAAGGTCAAGTAAGGTAGTAACTATTGCTGAGGCTTTATCGATACATTCTAGAGTCTTGTGTGCAGAGGTTACTTCACACAGATATGGTTCTGTGACCTACTTATAAAATTAAAAAATGTATTGGAAAATATTCCCTCAAACCTAAACCTGGAGCTACTTTATCATTTTCTGGTTTGTGTATTTATGTATGTAGTATGTATATGTATGTGCACATGTGTGTGGATAAACATGTATGTGTACGTGGGTGTGTGGATCACTTTCCACCTTATTCACTCAACACAGAGCTCACCCATTTGGATGGTCTACTTAACCAGCTTGCTCTGGAACCTGGGTCCTCACATTTGTACAGGGAGCACTTCAATTGCTAAACCTTCTCCCTAGTCCCTACTTCATCATTTTTAAAAGGCAGTGTAGTGTCTCTTTGTATTTTAATTTACTGATTCATTTCTTTTGATGGATATTTTGCCCTTATGACTTTTTATATAAATGTATTCACACTCATGGCTTTATTGCTGTAGGGGAAATTCTTAGAAATGGGATTCTAGGTTAAAGGATGTGAGGATCAGATAATTTGATACATGACTTGCCTCTCAGATGCAGCATCTACCCTCCAAGAACACACATGTTAATCACTTCCATGATTATCTCAAGGGACTTGTTTGATATTGGCCATCTGGCTTTCTGCACAACTCCTCGAATCCTTGTTGGTGTTCTCATAAGCTAGTGCAGGATATGGGCTTTGCAGATTTGCAAACTGGATCCTGTCAGTTTGTCCAGAGTCATGCTGATTTTGAGGATCAATTCTCATACTATCCTAGGAAGCACAGCGCCAAGTCAAATCATTCATTAAAAATGGGGCCATATATCCTGCCATTTTTAAAATTTTATCCACCATTTTTTGTTAGTGGGGAAGGGTTGAATTGTTTCAGAATTTAAATAGTTTAATTGCTAATTCTCTTGGTACTTGTAAAATTGGAAGGAAGAAGTAGGGTAGAATTGAATGAAATCTATCTCTACATTATAAGACGTGCCGCCTTTTAGTGTTTGTACTTAGGGAAAAATCAATGAGACTTTCTTCTGAGCAAAACCAGAAAAACACTAATGGAAGATTTCCCTTTGTTGCCTTATTTCTAAGCTCCAAATGACATCATTTGTGTTAATACAGCATTATGCCATTGGCCAGTTCAAAGCTGTAACTGGTTATATATCAGACCGGAAGCCATATGCTCAACTCACTTGAT